AACTCAATCAAAGCATCTAAAAGCCACCGCACCTCCTCTTTATTGAAGACAATCAACTTTCTGAACCCTCGCCCATTCTCATAGATTCTCAGATAATCAGCTTATTTCCCTTCACATACCAGATCAAAAAACTTGTCTTCAATGACTAGATAACATCTGCCATGGACACTCATGAGACTCATAGGGGCGGTCGGCCAGAATGGCCGGTCATAGATCGGGCGCCATAATGGTCTAAGGGAACTTTTTTTGTCATCAATAAATGTTTAAGAAATAATTATTCCAATTGCATGCTAAACAAAAAATTCCTGATTTTACACCACTACAAGAAAGGTTCTCTTGCTTTTGAGGACCAAGCCTTCTGCTATGACACAAATTAGCCCCAGCATTTGAACTGAAATATATTGAAATCATCATATAACTGGCACCTGGTGCAAAATCTCATTAAAACTACTCATTTGGAGGAAAGAGAAGGGCAATTAAACTATGTTCTGACAGTATTCTATTTTTCATAAACTCTTATTCAACCCTTAAAATGAAAAGATACAAGAAAATAAATTATTTAAAAATTGACTTACCCGATCAATAGTTCTCTGATCCCAGGCACCATACCAGACTGCAGCAGCAGCCCAGTAACCAGCCTGGGAATTGTCTTCCTCAATCATTGGATCAGATGAATTTTCATTGGTACTCGTCCATGAACCTAAAACAACTCCATCAATTTCCCCACACTTGATTATTAGATTGTTGAACATATGTGAACCCAACAGGTGCAAATTTATTTCTTCAATAGAGTTCAAAGTTGATGCAACTTGCTTGAGTTTCTGACGGCCTTCAAAAGTTTTCCAGAAAACACTGCTAGGATAAAACCTCTTCTCCACCACCAAGAATACAGACAAGAGAGAGAGAGGAAGAGATAGAGAGAAAGAAAGAGAGAAATTTCAATCCACAGAAACCATGAAGCTCAAAATTACACTGGTTATGATTCTAACATTGCATGATGTAGACAGTGAAACAAAATTATACATACCTCAATAAGTGATAGTCTCTCCAATATCTTGCAGTCATTTGGTCCTAAATAACCATACCTTCTCATCTCCTCTGTGATTTGTACTCGTAAAGATCTTCTAACTGTGCCAAAAAATAACTCCTTGAGACACGTTTCAATGTCCTCTCCAAGCTTTTCCAATGTTGTTACAGCCAATCCAATTTCACCCTATTGGTCATTGTATGGTTAGTGCACAAATACAAGCAACTTCATTTTTGAGCAACTACATATGTATATTTATGATACCTTCAAAAATAGGTCATATGCAATAGCTCTCCCAATGACACGAACTTCAGTGAAAGTATCATGAGGCTCTTCATCTGCAATGATTTCTCTTGAACGATGAAGATGTAGCTGAAGGACAGCTAAAGGAAGACGGCCAGACAGTAGAGCATCTTTCACCACACTTTTTAGGTCCAACTTGTCGATTTTCCAACGAGCAACCATCTCCTTTGGATTTTCCAATGGAAGAACCTTCTTCGGCTCAAGATCTGCTACGTCAGTTGAGTCATCTGAAACCCCAGAAGCTTTGGTGTTCACGTAATCCTTAGGCATCAAAGCAAATTTGTCAGTATCATTGAAGGCTGATGCAGATGCAGAGATAGTAATTTCCTGCTTATTCAATGTCTCTAATGATAGAGCATCTGCTGGAGCAATTGAAAAATGAGACTCATCCTGCAATGAACCAGGATCCACCAAACTTAATGCCCTTTCACCATCACCCTGCATCATAGAGGAAATGGATTGCTTAAATTTTAGTTGTAAAAAATTCAAACAACACTTTTTCAGTATCATGATGCAAAACGTAAACATTAAAATAATATGTGAAATAGCAAAATTATCCTGCACCTGGCTTGACTTCTTAAATTTTGCACTAATTCGACGTTGCAGGTTACGTATGATCTCCAAAAAGCGAGCCATCTCATGCATCCTTCTCGAGTTTCCAATTTCATTTTCTGCTTTATCCGGTAAAATAGATGGAAGACAAAGCATTCGGGACCCATGCAGTCTCTCCAATAGGTATGCTTCCCTTTTGTGCTCAACGAATCCATACTTACGAATCATTTTGGTCGCAAAGCAGGTTGCAAGTGCAAGAAGCCTGCAACAGACAGTTTAAAGAAGCATGAATAGATAATACCTAAGAAAAAACTAAACCAAACTAAAATAGTAAAACTGGAGAAAAAATTTCATAAGATTTGAACAATATTTCTTTTTGTGAAAAGGGAAATATTAGAAGAGGAGAAACAATTACAATAATGGAGAACAAGTAATCCTCCTAAGAAAGAAGAAAGGAACACTAATAACCATCAAAACAACAATGCATCCCAGTCCCTTTGCAAAGTAGTCAAAAGAAATCCCCAACAAAACCATGAGATTTTTGCCCACAAAGTAACTAAGAAACCATTAAATTCAAAAAAGAGATATGGGCAAAGACAAATGATCCTCAAAGCACTTGGCTCCAGCCATAACACCCACAACCCAGTGAAAAGTGCACCACTCCAGAGAACACTAGCTTTCTTCTTCCACCCACCTCCTTTAAGGAACATACAGAGGAAATGCTCAAAGGAGGGGGGAACAACCTTGATAACACCAAAAGTATCAAACAGGCTATACCAAAGGCTTCAAGCTACATCAAAATGCAAGGAGACAACAATGGGACTCAGGCGCCTGAAGACTCACAACACACACATCAGAAGAAAAGGCACTGCCACGTCTGTGAATTTGCAACAACTCATTAGCATTTTGCTCTCTCTTTTTTAAAAAAATATGCAAAAAATTAAATCAAATCAAATATGCAACAAATTATTAGCTTTGAGCTGTCCAAAGCAGTTGTTCAAGCAAAAACCTTAACCTTAAAAGGGAACTTTCGGATTCCAAAAAATATTAGTAAAAGTCTCATTGTGGCAACTGGATTTATGGATGAAATGAGGAAAGGTAGACTTGCAGGTGTTCACATTACTATGAACAAGATTTTGCTAATTTAAAATTAAAACTTTTTTTAAAGAAATTCAAATTTAAAAGTATTACTTAGAAACAACTAATTTGACAATGATGTCCACCATCTTGACTGAAATAGGAAATTAATTAATCAAAACTTATGCCAACCCTCTGTATGATTTAGTTTCAAATTTTTTATTCATGACCTTAATGGAAATAACAGGTTGAGTCGCAGAGACAGATTTGAACGAAAATACCATTTGCAGCATCACTCTCTCCAGGAACCTAAATGATTTGGAGGTGCCCAAGTACATGGATTTGGTGGCCCTTTTGTCTCAGTGCTAGGTGGATCTTTCCAAGTAATATTGCCCTATCTAGTCCCTTAACAAAGATGGGAAGTTCACAGTAAAATCTCATCATATTAATCGACTCTCTCAAGAATGCTACAGCCTTTAGATTTCTGTAGAAATAAATTTGGAAGGGCAAAGCATCCCCCAATTTAGCTATTTTCATGTGGGAAGCTACATGGGGAAGAATCCTGAATATGGAAAACCTAAAGAAAAGGGGAAAAGTATCACAAGACTTCCCTTTCTATCTCCATGAGTATAAAAAACCCCAACCATCTCGTTCTTTGGTGCTAAGAGGATAGAAGATAATTTGGTTCTACATTAAGTCTTCTCAATCTGCCTTGGGTTGTCCATGGGTGAATGGCGGATGGAGTTTGGGCATTGGGTGGTTGAGAGTTTATAAATCCATAAAGAAGCTTCTTAATCTTATTCTGATGTCTATTTCTGAGTCATTTGGAAAGAACAAAATATAAGCTTTTGAGGCAGTTTGATGAGAGCAAGGAAGAGGGAAAATAATTTCTTCTTAAAGGATCAATCAACTAAGGGGTGGATTTCCTTCTTCAACCGCACAGCAAATCAAGAGAAAGAAGAAAACAAATCCTATTCCTTAATGGGAGACTGAATCTCATGAATTTTGGGAGATTATGGGAGCAATTAAACCTTTCCCAAATTGATCATAATCTTCCTTAATTCTTCTCTTAATCATCTTCATAATTAGTTAAGATCTTCTCTATCTAAAAAAGAGATCATAATCCTATTTTAGTAGGCAATCTTTCTAATTGATGCAAGTTTCTTATTCTATTCTACATTTATTTTTCTATGTAATTTTACAATTAATTGAGGAGATTGTTTTTCTTATTGTTCACATGACTTATACTATAAATAGATCATTAATTTACAGTTGTCTTAATTTAAGTTTTGAGAATAATAAAGTTACAAAGTTTTAATTTCAACTAATGAGGTTTTCTCCAATCTTCTTGTTGAGTGGGGAATTGGTGTTTAATTATCAAAGTTACTTGTAGTACTTTCATCAATTTCTTTTTTGAATTAATTTTAATTTATCAAGATTTTCCTTGTGACGTTCTAATTAATTCACTTATTCCCTATCACTTTAGTTTTCACTCTCCCATTATGTGCGGGTCAAGTAGAGAGGGTTTATTTAGAGTTTTAAGTTTTGATTTCTGATGTATATGCAGGACTTTGGATTGCGCTATTGATACCAGATTTCGCATCAATATATGTGCGATTTTTTATCATATCAGTTGATATTGGGTTCCGCATCACAATTTGTTCCCCTTCCATAGAATTAGAAATTCTTGGTTCCATTCCCCAAGAATATTTTGATAGGACATCTCATCCTTCATGATGAAGGATTTAGGGAACCTTCTTGATAGTTTATCTTATGAGCTTATTTGATAGTCAATGGACAAAACCCCCTATAAGCCTCTTAATGACATCTCTTTTTTCTCTCCAACAAATAGAAGGATGAGTGACTCAGCCAAACTATAAATGAAAAAAGTAAATGGCCACATTAAAACCTTTGAAGGCAAAGAATGCTATTAGCAAGTCCTTCATTCGTGATGTCAAGTTGTCAACATTCTATAAAGCAACATATTTGATCTCAATAAGCGGTCGCACCTTTAATTTGCATCAAGACTAGAACATTTTGCCCAAAATTAGAGAATAACTTAAGGGTATTTGGTTTCTTTTTCTGTCAAAAATGGTAAAGTTGCTCACATTAAAACTCACATTTTCTTCCCACTAAACAAAATAATTAAAGAGAAAACCAAAAGTTGCTATGGCAAATGATGATTAAAAGATATTCACGGTAGCCAACGAAATAGATGGCTTAAATAGCTAGTAGTTACATAACACACAAAAATCAGAAGGCAATCACCAGTTTGCTTCACCTATATACTCCCTCCACCCATTTTCAAGTGGGAGATGATCTAGAGCACTATTCTAGGAGGATAATTGGAGGATAATACATTAACTAATCAATCCCCTACCTCTATAATATTTCCTCAATTCACAATATACCTATTTCCAATTTTATATATCACATAAATAATACTGTGGCCTAGAACCTCTATGTTTTTATAAACCTTAATGACCGGAAACCGATAATATACTAACCCAATTAAGCTTGCTAGAAACCTTCCATTATTCCTAAAGCTAGATAACAAACTTTGAACTTTAAACCCTTTGGGATTATACACTTGCAAATCTTTTTTTAATCACATAACCAAAACCATAATTGTTATCACACTCCTTTTGCAAAATGTCTTGGAAAGCTAAAGTCCCTTCAAGGTGAAGATATTTGCATAGATCACTACTTAAAAAGGCTAAGCACTAAAGAGTTGTTGCAAATTTGCATGCATAACTGAGTTCTTTCCCCATACATTTGTGTTATGTGTAGCAAGAAAAGGGAGATGCATAACCACTTAGAAATTCTAGACGAGGATGTTCGATATGTATAGATGACTTAGATTGTTCCTCCCTCTTTGGAGTGCTTTATGAACTCGAAACTTTATGGAGAGGGGATGAGAAAAGTACTTAAAACCCTCTTTGGCAAGATGCTCTATGCAAGTTTATGGACATAATGGTTAGAACACAATCATAGGATTTTTGAATAATGAACCTTCCCGATTCAAGTTTTGTGGGAGAGGCAACAATTTTTGCCTCCTTATAGGCAAAAGCCCCCAGAAAACTTTTTGATATTTCTATCTCTTTGTCAGATAGGAATTCGTGGGGGAAGTGTGGGTTAAGCGTTGACTTTTTCTTGTTTTGGAGGCTCTAGAAGGATATTTGATCCTCTAACTTTGTAATATATTATTTTTTATTTCAATTATTACTTTTTTTCTATCATAAAATCCCTATCTACATAATCCAACTTTCAGATAACTAAAATCTACTTAAATAAGCTAGATAAACCAGAGGTACCAATAATATTTTATCTCGTCTCAAAGTTCTTCTTTGAGAAGGATCTAGGAAGAAATCTTATTTTTGTACATGGGTTGTAACCCCTTGATGCTTTGTTAATATATTCATACTTTTTATTTCAAATATATATATATATATCTTTTCTTATTCCTAATATTACTTCTTTTTCATCAAAAATCTACCTAAATATCCTAACTTTCGAGTAACTTCAAAACTACCGAAGTAAGATACACAAATTAAAGGTACTAATTATACCTAAGTATCAAATAGTACTTTATCCACAGAAGTGTAAGATGTGTTATAAAGTTGCTAAATCACACAGCCAGATATTTCTACATTGCGATACTGCCTAGATCCTTTGAACACGATTATTTGATATTTCTGGAGTTTCTTGGGTTTCCCCTCCTCCTGTTGAGGTTTTCATTTCTTCTGCTCCTCATGGTAATTATAAGACGAAGTTGATTAAGTCTTTAATGCACGAGATCATTTTTGCCGGATTGTGGGTGATTTGGCTGGAGATGCTAGAATTTTTAGTGATCAATTTTCTCCTCTTTTGCATCTTTGGGATAGGATGTCTTTTTTTGGTGTCTATGTAGGCTAAGGCGATGAACATTTTAAATATTGTTCTTTTTCGTTTCACTTATGGTTGGTCTGCTTTTCTTCATTTGATTTGTTTGCTTTCTTTTCTTATCTCTTTTCTTCTTTCCTTTTCTCTTTTGTGAGTATATCTAGTCCTTCATTGTTGTACTTCTTTTTCCTTCTCTATTATTACCTTTTTTCTATCGAAAGGGACAAAAAGAACAAGTTACTTCTACCTAATTCTAGTTCTATTTCAAACCCATATACCGCCTAGAAATGAAATTACAGCGAGCTATTCCTAGTTGCAATCAAATTGTGTAATGCAATCACAATTACGTTACAATCTTATTTTATCCCACGGAATAACTATTATATAGCAACCTTATTCAAGCCAGTAAATCAACGACTTGTTATTTCATTCAAAGTACTACTCTAGCTTCATTCTTATGTTTGTTAATTATTATTCTTTTTCATACTACTTATATCTCAAAAAAATTATTCTTCATACTAATTAACATTCTAATATTTTCCAGAATAAAACACAACCATATTTTCTAGAACCAAACACACCCCTAATATATTCTTGAATTCAGGCAACGAACGAAGTGCCTAACCAGTAAGGGTTGCAACTCGCCAAACAGTTTGATGATTCATATCTGGCCCAGCAAAAGCTCATTCAAATTCAATCAAAATCAATTTCAAGCTTGAAGAAATGTTGTTTTAACTACGCCAAAGACTCCACCCCGACGAATTTGGTTCAGAAGTTCATTAACATGCTTATTTATTTCCTGATATAGTAAATATATTTCAATATTATATTAAAATATACAACATAAAACATATTTAAGAGATAATTTTTTATAACTATATAGATTTGTAAAAGTAATAACTAAATCAGGTAAATAGAATGTTGAAGGAGCTCCTTATTAAGCTTATCAAGCTCGATTTAATGTAGTTTGACATTATTTGAGCTTGAATTCAAATTTATCCAGGCTCAATCTTTTGCTAAGCTTTTCTTAAAAGGAGGTCAGACTCTATATTTCCTTTAAATAAGCCACGCTCAAGCATAAAGAAAGTACAATCGAGCTTCAAGCTATACTTGGAAAGTAAAACTTTATTGGACTCAGTTTAAATTGGTATCACCACTACTAACTAGATTTCCTCATTACAGCAGCAGTAGCCTGCTAATAAGGCTCAAAATCATGGTCCAGTTCATATGTCATGATACCTTCAACATCAAACACCTACGCACCTCTGCAACTTAAGGAGTGTGATAATAAAATACAGAACCAGTATAAAACCAGCATAACCTGTAGACCATTGTGAACTGTTGATGCATAGGTGACAAAAAAGTTTGGAATTCTAGGATGTCAATTTGCATCAAAGTTGATGAACTTTCTCTTGATGAAAAAACAAAACCAAAATTAGGAGAAGAAGGTCACAGCATATTATCAGATGTCATCACAAGAACAGTTTCCAACTTTCTGGTATCATTACAAATAGAAATAGGTAGAATCCTCAGCCATACGAAGGTAAGAATCATTGAGAACTCTTACCTTGATGCCACAGAAACTTCATTATCACTACTTCTTTTTTGCACCAACAGATGGATTGCAGAAAAGAGCAACCTCAAAATGCCTTCTTCTGCGAGCTCCACGTTAACAAGCATATCCAAAGATCTATGCATCCACCAAGAAAAAAAGGAAAACCAATTACTGAAACATAGGTCACATCCAAGTAATATAAAAAAATGAAATCTAAACTTTAAGCATAACAGAAAAAAACTGTTGGAAGAATCAAATAATAGAATGTCATCAGATACAGGCCAAAAAATATCGGAATATGGATGATTTTTAAGACTTGTTGGCTGACAATAACAGGACATATGAGGAGCTCTACGTTGGTAGAACAAGAAAATAATTTTTTTTTAAATAAAAAGTGTGAAAAATGTATTAACAAGGTACCAACGAGGTTAACACCCCATATACAAAAGATTTACAATTGTGTTAGGATATTAATGACATTCCCAAAATCCTTAACCGTAACAAGGTCATGTCCTAACAAAATGGAGCTAAAATAATGTAACCACCTATCTTTCAATTTCTAAATCTTTACCTCGTTACTCTCAAAAGTTCTGCTATTTCTTTCTTTCCATAAGACCCAAAAACTAGTGAAAATAATAATCTTTACAAAATCCCTCTTTTTACAGAAACCACCCCAAGCGTAAATCTCATCCTTAACCAAACCTGCCATGACTCAATTAATACCGAGCAGCCCTTAAATCATGCACCAAAGACTATAAGCAGTAGGGCACCAAAGAAGAATTTGGTTGCAAGATTCCACATCACCCATGCATAAATAGCATCTACTAACAATTGTAACACCCCTTTTCATTAGCTTGTTGATTGTCAGGATACACTCCCTACAAGCCTCCCACGCAAAGAAGGCAATTCTAGGGGAGACCTTAGTTTTCCAAATTTGAAAAGTTGGAAAATCCCTACTCCAACTCTGCCCAGAAAGTAAAATGTGAGAGTAATATAACCTGACCGAGAAATCCCCATTGTGTTTCAGCTTCCACTGAATCTGATCGCTGCTGGTATTAACCTTTTGATCCACTAAAAGTTGCAGCAATGATTCATATTCGTGTGCTTCCCAGTCATTCAAAATTCTTGTCACATTAACCATCCAAAATACAATGTTATTGGTAGTCTTGTATGCTTCTTCAACCACCATGTTCCTAGTCTGGGCTACTGCGTAAATTCTAAGAAACCTCCTCATAAGACATCCAACCTCCAGCCACTCATCCGCACAGAAACTTATTTTGTCGCCTTTACCAAGTTTCCACTGTATAAACACTTTGAATCTCAGCCAGTCCATCAATATCTTCCTCCACAAGCCAAGCTCATGAGGTCTAATAATTCTCCCAACTATATCCCCGCTAGGAAACTCCCCCTACCTAGCCGCAATAATTTTCTTCCACATCTCATCTACCTCATTTAAATATCTCCATAGCCACTTCCCTTGGACGGCAACATTCATCTCAACAAGAGACCTAATATCCACGCCACCTTGACGAATTGGTTTCTTGACTTCTTCCCACTTAACTAAGTAATATCTTCTTTTTCCTTTCCTCATCAACCCAAAAGCGACACTGGATGGCTTGCATTCTCTTTGCCACTTTAATCAGGATTGTCAACGTATAAAGATAATAGATAGGGAGGTTGGCTAGTGTACTCTTAATAAGAGTGAGTCTACCTCCTTTCGATAGGAAGTTTCTCTTCCAACTTGCAAGTCTTCTCTCAAGAGTATCAACAACCAGTTCCCAAGTGCTAGTGTCTTTATATTTTGCACCCAAGTGGATCCCCTAATATTTAATAGGCAACTTGACAGCTTCGCAACCCATGACATTAATAAGATAGATCCCATCCTGTGTCCCCAGTTGTCACCATTTCAGACTTGCTTAAGTTAATGTTGGGTCTGGAGATAGTTTGGAAACAAAACAGGACACACCTCAAGTGAAGGAGATTTCTAACTTCCGGAAGGCAGAATATCAGTGTATCATCAGCGGAAAAGAAGTGAGAAACCTGGACAGCACTGTCACCCCTCCCCATGCTTACAGCCCTCAACAGCTGCAAGTCAGTAGCTCTAGCTAATAAACCACTCAGTGCCTCAATGACCAAGATAAATAACAAAGAAGAGAGTAGGTCACCTTGGCGCAACCTACGAGAAGCAGAGAAAAAGCTAGACAGTCGATCATTGAAAAGGACTCCAAAGGAGGTGGAAGCGATGCATGTGTGTATCCACTTCAACCATTTCTGCCCAAAGCCCATTCTTTTCAGCATGTACTCAACAAAATCCCAACTAACATGGTCATATGCCTTCTCCATGTCAAGTTTGCATAAAATTTCCTCTTTTTTACCCGAAATCAAATCATCCACCACCTCATTAGCAGTCATGACAGCATCCAAAATCTGTCTTCCACCCACCAAGCATGTTGACAGTCTCCTATGATCTCACCAAGCACCCTGAACAGTCTATTTGCCAAAACTTTTGCAATGAGCTTGTACATGCATCCCACCAGGCTAATGGGTCTAAAGTCTTTTATATCCTTGGCACCTTTCTTCTTAGCAATCAAAACAAGAAAAGCAGTGTTTAGAGATTTCACAAATTTGTTTGATTCACGAAACTCCCTAAATATATCCATCATTTCACTCTTGATAACATGCCAGAAGTCCTGCAAAAACTTCATATTAAACCCATCCAGGCCTGGTGCCTTATCCCCATTACACATATTTAAGCTGTCCAGCACCTCAATTTCAGTAAATTCCACCTCAAGGAGCTGCCTACTTGCATCACACAGATTCTTGAACTGTAAGTCATCCAGTCTAGGCCTTCTCCCCCACTCCTCATCCAAACCAGAAAAAAAATCCTTAGCAGCCTCCCTCATCTAGTTGTTACCCACAACTTTCTTTTCATCAACCCAAAGCTCCTCAATGTAATTGCATCTTCTTCTATAGCTCGCCAAAGCATGAAAATATTTCACATTGCGATCTCCCATAAATCCTAACTTTGATAGGTTTAAAAATCATTGTTCCAGATCCTAATTTTGTTATTAGGATTCAACCACCATACTCTAGCAAGGATTCAAGAGACCTTATTGGCATTTGTTAGAGTTGTAAATATTTCTATATATGGGTTGTACTCTCTTGGTGCTCTTTGAATATAAATCACTTTTTTATTCTCAATAAAAAAATTCCTTTTTGTATTTACTATAATTTGGAAGAAAAATATAAACCTGAAACTGCATGCAAAGATAAAAGCATGACTAGGAAAATATTCAGCAACTATTTGGTATAATTATGTGAACATTGAGCACGATGTATATAGAAGCTTACTCATTTATCTCATCGAATTTCAAGTAATCCAAGGCCATTTGCAGTCGACGCATCCGAGAAATTTTCAGGTCCCAACCTGACATGGCAGTGATCCATACAACATCTCAGGTACATCGGAAATGTGCTTGGTCTTATAAAGAAAAGGATAAAAAAAATCCATACAAATGAAATTGTGATATTTGGACAGATTTGTTTGCAGTTATCACCGTGAAAAGGACAGTTGAAAATTAAAATAAGTTGGCAGAAAATTTTGCCACATGATTTTCATCTCACTTGCACAGCCAAAATAGTTTTGTCCAAACAGCCAGAACATAGAAATATGAGAATAATGCATTTAATTAAAGAAGTCGAAATTACTTCATGTATGGGTCTTATCATAGTTCAAAAGCCAATTCCTCCCTACAGCTTAAACATCAACTAAAACACTACGAAAATTCTCATCTATAATATCAATGAATAGTTGAAATTTTGGATTTACAAGCCACAACCACAAAACCAATCAGATTCCACAGAATAGAGTAATCAACCAAGATCTATCTTATAGCCACGTTCCTGCACAACATTGCATGGCATCATTATCCATGAATTGCAGTGAGAAAAATTGCCCTCGCATGCAGCACCAGTAGTGCTTCTCCACAAACAAACCAAGAAGTGAACACAGAATCCACGGAAAATAAGGACATAAAAGCCACTATGTAAGCACCACCGAAAGGTGGAAAACCATTAAGATGTGAATCAATTAACTCGTATTAAGTTAAAAATACAAAAGTCTTTCCGAGTGTGACTACAAACTAAATCAACTCATAAAAGAAGTAGAAGTTTGCTCTACCATCTTGCAAAAAGTAGCTGAAGAACCAATTATATTCTGAACAAATAGGTCCAAATGTCTTCAGTAAAGTTTCATGTACAATACAAAATTTAGTTGTAGCATTAGATAAATCTATCTTTTTTTCCAATACACCACATCTATTATCCTTTCAAAATATTTTTTTTTGCTCCCTTCCAACTACACAAAATACAGCACAGATAATCAGATCAATAAAATGATCCGTGTTTATCTAGAATAAAAATCCAAAATATATTAACTTCAAAAGAACAAATAGATTTACCAGATCATGTGTGGTCTCAAAGGTTTGGAAGTACTTATCAGCTTATGTTAGAATCTAGGCATCTAAGAAATTACATAAATAAAGATGATTACATGGAGATAATTATTGGCTTTGAAACAAATTTCACAGAAAAAAGCTTGTGCCTTTCCAATTTTCATTTAAAAGGAAAGAATAACCATTCCATTGAGCCATAACCATCTTCCAAATAACAAGCATTTTATGCATAGAAGGAAGGCTATCTCCCAAGTTCAATCATTATACCTACCTTTTGCCCCTCTAGAAGTGGGAGATGGCTCTAGAGTATTGTTTTGGGAGGACAATTGGATTGGGAAAAATTCCTTGGCCAGTCACCTCCCTTGTTTATATAATATATCCACTAGACATAATGCTCAAATTTCTTGTTTTGTAAAATCCAACAAATGGCAATATAGCCTAGGTTTTTCACTTTCTTCTTCACCCTACTGACAGGGAGACTCGAGACCTATTAACATTGCTAAATTGTTGGAGACAATTAAACTCAATCCACAGCCTGATACTAAATTTGGACTCGGGCATTCTCAGGATTAGATACAGGGTAAGTCCCTTTTTAACCATATCAACCATAACCCTAATTGCTACCGACTCCTTTTTGCCAAGTCATTTTGGAAGGCTCAGGTGCCCTCAAAGGTAAGGGTGTTTCCATGAACTGCTATTCTTCAAAGATTCAATACTAATGGCATGCTGCAAGTGCAAGCCAAGTCGCGCTTTTTCACCATTATCTGTATAATGTGTCATAAGGAGAGGAGACCCACTCCTATTTGTTCTTGTAATGTGACATGCCTAGAAACTGTGACAAGACTATCTGACCTGTTTTGTTCAGCCTACGCCCTCCACCGTCAGTGGAGAGCTTCATGAGCTCATGTATACACAAGGAGGGGCTTCCAGAGGTAGCAAAATCCCTGCGGAGAGGAGTAATTATGGACATTATGGACATTATGGGTCGGAAGAGATCGGCAGATTTTTAATTTTGCCCAGTCAAGATTTATGGTAACAAATTAAATTTTTTGCCACACTATGGGCCAAATGACATTGTATGGTATATGCCTTAATTGTTTTTTGAATCTTCTAACTGAAGGTTCGAGGAGATATTTTATTTTCAACCAATGTAAATTTGTTCTTCCTTCTCAATAATACTTCTTTTTCTATCAAAAGGAAGTTTTTACAGCATGAAATCAAAACATCATACCCATATTTAAGTATAAAATATATCAGCTTTGAAATATTAATTGCATGATATTTAAGCAAAACATCACAAGAATGTTTTCCTTTGTGACATCAAACAATGTACACTATCTAATTATGTAAGAATCCGACTTCTTGTAGAGATCCAATTCGTAGATAAATTAGTATCTTAAAATCTCCATATATATAAGAATTATAGTCAATTTTCATAACTATGATATCTTTTCATTTCCGAACTTATTTAGTTTCATACTAAAACTCTCTAATTTTTTCCTATACATATTTAAAACTTTGTGAATTAAGTATTATGAATAAAAATTTAATAAACAGAAAATTTGACTACAAATTTTCATAATATAAAAGCAGGATCTCTTAACCTAAAAAAAGAAAAAGAGAAAATTCTTTTTTTCTCTCTCTCTTGTCGATGACCAAATACTGGATGGACACAGCAAGAACTAGTGATCTCTTTGAATTCACATATCGTTCGGATTGAATTATTTCTATCAAACCACTCGAATCAAAAGCCACCCAAATTTCGATTAGCAGCCATAGCTAAATAGAAGCAACTATATTCAGTAGTTTCAATCGGTCAAGATGTTTATCAGTGGAAGAGAGAGAGAAGAATACATCATTGTAAAGGTCACCCAACCAAGTGCCACAGGCCTAAAAGTTTGAACTTGGAAGGCCAAAAATAATCTGGTTATATTGTGACTTATTAACTTTATAACAAATGATATTTGTGAGAATTTTTTGTTGTACAAAACAGCACAAGAAATTTAGGAAGCAACCAATGACTTCTACCTAAGCAAAGAAACCACATCAGAAATTTTGCAATTGAATCTAACCTCCATGACCCATGACAAGGAGATCTATCTGTAACCCATTATTACGGTATGCTTACTCGTCACTGGCAATGGCTCATTGTCTTTGAAGAAATAGTGTAGAACTATTCAGATGATTTAAAATGGTACAGAGAAATTTTAGAAAGAAAAAGATATTTTCAATTTCTTATGGGATTGATAAAAATCTGGATAAGGTATAAAGAAGAATACTCGGAATGAAACCATAACCTGGTATTCATGAAATATTTTCCAAAGCAGTGAGAGAAGAAATTGAAAAAAAAAAGTAATGTTGGGAGATGAATTCACAAGTGATGCTACGAAGCAAAACTTTGTCTTTGTTGCCTGAAACCCTCATCCCAACTCAAGCAATCAATAAAGAGAGGGAATGCCTAGGTGTGACCATTCTAGAAAACTAGATTACACTTGAGACAATTGCTGGAAAATTCACAGAAAAACAACTGATTTGAAAACCACAAAATCAACGATAGATAAAGAAAGTAAGGGAAATCATTTCTTTATTGATGAAAGTATCTCCACTAAGGAATCATACCCATTCAACAAAAAGCATACAGAAACCCTCCAAAAAATTGTTCCGACATGAAAACTCCATCAATAGAAACATAAAGTTTGGGATAACAACTGAAAAAGACAATTCTTTAAGCATTTTTAATGCTACTTCAAGAAATCAAGATACTTGGTTCATGGACTCAAGAGCATCTAACCACATGATGGGAAATAAAACATTATTTCAAGAATATATTCCATGCAAACAGAACCTTACCATAAAAGTAGCATACATATGTCACTCAAGAGTGGCTAGAATATGTGATATCCTCATCTCAAAGAAGTTAATTTTAAAGAGAGTAATTCATGTACCTAATTTGGACTGCAACTTGTTATCAGCAAGCAAACTTACCCAAAATCATAATTGTATTACTAAATTGTCCTTAAACTTATTGGAATTTCAGAATCTGAATTCTAGGATGACGATTGACAATGCTAAGATGTACTCCGGACTCTTTCTCTTCAAGAATAATGGATTTTTGAGGACACAATCTCATAATGCAGTAAGTGTTGAGTCTCAAAATAGTCCAATTTACTTATACAATCTTATTACAATGACATTATTGATTGGGACACCAAAACTTTGTATACATTCAAAAATTGTTCCCTTTTTTGTTTAAAAATAAAAATTTGAAAAACTTTCATTGTAAAGTGTGTCAATTATCAAACATAAACGTACTATATATCTCACAATATTCTACAAAGTTTCTAAACCATTTCCTATAGTACATAGTGATGTCTGGGAGCTATCTAGAATCAACAATATTACTGGTACTAGATACTTTATATCCATTGTAAATGATCATACAAGAAGTATATGACTATTCCTCATTAACGAAACATTAAAAACTGATTATGTAATCAAAAAATTCAACAACATGGTTCAAACTCAAGTTCAGGCAAAAATACAAGTGTTAGAGATAAGCAATGCATAAGAATCCTTTAAAAAAGAGTTGGAAATATATCTTGAAAAAGAGGAGATTGTTCTATCAAATTTCATGTGTTCATGCCCCTCACCAAAATGGGATAATCGAAAGAAAGAATAGACATCTCTTAAAAGTGGTATGGGTCCCTCATGTTTACAACTCAAGTTCCAAAATTTTTGAGAAGTTGTTTTAATTGCAACTTACTTTATCAATAAAATGTTTTCTTACATCCTTAAGCTTCAAATACCCTACCATGTTCTACTCTAATACTTTCTTAACATTCGACATCTATGTACCCTACCCATTCAAAGTTCTTTGTTGTTCAACTTTTGTTCACATACACAACTACCACAAAAGCAAACTAAACCCAAAATAAATAAAATACATCTTTGTTGCGTATTCATTAAACCAAAAGGGATATTATTATTATTTACCAATCACTTTGAACTTTTATAACTCCATGGATGTCATATTTCATGAAAATCAATCATATTATAAAATTAGTATTCAGAAGGAAAAGAATACACAAGCATCTCAAGTTTAGAACTCTACCATTCAATATCTCATCCTCCTCTGATTGAACATATTCAATCTCCAAAACACATAGATCAAGATGAGACACTTGTACCTAAACCTACTCACCATACTGAAAAACCTAAACTTCATATCTACACCAAAAGGTACAAAAACTAAGAAGAGAAAGAGTCACAACCACCTTATCAGAGTCATGAATCCAATCCAAATCTAAATCCAACATCACTGAATACTTCAGGTAATCCAAGTTCAAATCTCTCTATTCATAATTTGTATGATAATATACCTATTGCTTTAAGAAAACAAAAAAGAGCATGCATTGATCATCCAATTCACAATTATATAAAGGTCTTTCATCAACTCACCAAGCATTATTAGCAATATTGATAAAATATAGATACCAAGTACGATATATGAAGCACTAAAAGTTTCCGAATGGAAAACTGCAATTATGGAAGAAATCCAAGTCTTAAAAAAGAATGAGACTTGAGAAATAGCAGAATTACCACCCGGAAAACACCCAATTGGCTGTAAATGGGTATTTATAATCAAGTATAATGCTGATGGTAGCATCAACAAGTTCAAATCTCGATTAGTAGCCAAAGGCTTTACTCAATCTTATGAAATCGATTACTAGAAGACATTTGCACCAGTAACAAAGTTTAACACAATCTGGGTACTAATGTTTCTAACTGCCAATCTACATTGGCCACCATTCCAACTAAATGTGAAATCCAACTTCTTATAAAAGTTCAATTCCTGTACAAATTAGAATCCTCGGGGAAATTTTCCTATAAAAAAAGATCATAATCAACTTCCATAACTAGGAAAGTTTTTCCTTTTATAAGTCTAATTTGTATTTATTTTTTTATTAAAACTCTTTATAATTTTCTCCTATATATATTCAAATGTTGTAAATTAAGTATCATGAATAAAAATTAAAAAAACAGAAAATTTGATTACAAATTTCAAATTGAGATAGAATTTTTGTAAAAATAACCTATGCCCTCTGCAGCTCATCATTTGTGTCATATTTTCCTGTCAATTTTTATGTTTTTTTTTAAATAAAAGTGTTGTTAATTTACAGGTACCAAGGGAGTACCACCCATTTACATTATATTTACAGCTCAATCAAATGGTCCATGACACTGTCAATATCATCAATTCTATTGATGTCATGACCCAAAAAAATAAAACCAAAAGTATATATCTATCTATCCCTAATGTTTGAAAAATCATTTTCAACCCCATCAAAAGCTCTAGAATTCCTCTTTCCATACAACCCAAAAAACATATAGGAGCATTAAGTATCTTTTCTTTTTACATAGCCCAATCCATGCCTAGAGTTCATCACTCATTGATCCAGCCATGACCCACTTTATTACCAATAGCCCATAAATCAAGGACCATAGTTGATATACCATCTGTCAACTTTTATGTTAATAACATCATTATAGGACTCCTTCAAAATCCTTACTTCCATCACACCACACAATGTCTTTTAAAATCTTTATCAAGAGGAATCCCACATGGAAGGTTGAACGCTCATGCAAAGAAGTCACTATTTAAACATCCTAATAGCTCAAACATCACCACTAATGTAAATCAACTATGGAAACTTCAAATATGCATCCCTTAACATTACAAGTGCAAAAAGTGGCATACAGTAGCAAAAGTATGATTGAAAAGAATAGCAAGCATTACCACTAACGAAAATTTCAGAAAGATTGCTTCTAATCTCTACGTTTTGCTGGGGGACAAAGTGCTCTTTGTGGCTCCTATTTGGGTTAAAGCATATCATCTCTTTCAGAGAGTCTATTTAGCTATTCTGCAAGGGGATTAGCTGCTATTCCGTATTGATTTTAGTTATCCGTTTGCATTTCAGTCTTTTTCTGTTTTCTTCTCCTTTGTATTATTGTTGGAATATTCCTTATAATTTTTCTTTTTATATTATCCTTTTCTCCCTTTCTATTAATTCTTGTTTTACCCCTTAAAAAAATAATGATGGTAGCTTCTTGCTCAATTTCTCAATCTCTGAACAATAGCGTACCACTAGCATCTTACTGCACTTTTTTTTTTAAATATTACTGCACATGTTTTTTCTTTAAATATTACTGCATATGTTCTTTTGAGATCTAATAGCATTTAACTAATTAATAAGTCCAAGAAAATCTATTCCAATCTATTAGTAACTTGGAGAACTTTTTTTGAGAAAATGATTGCATCTTGTATATATTTTATAGAACTGTTTAATTCAAAGTGTTAATGCATATACATTTCATCGCTTTTTAAAGCAATCATTATGAACAGAACATTAAGATGTGCATGCCTACCTGCCCAAATTCTAATCTAATCATAACCTAACTCCAAATAAGCCCCAGAAAAAAAGATCATGTATACTTTAATGCAGCTAGAATAAATATAGATAGCAAATTCAAGTAGAATATTCTTTCTACCTGTCAAGTGATAGATCATCAGCTAACACCAAGCAATAAAGCAGAGAAAGAGAATAACAAAAGAAAGTTTAAGCACTCAGATGTGACTAAATGGAAATAGCTCTCTGGATAGGGACTAAAAAGAAGTTGATGCACCAAACAGTAAAAAATATCAAGAAAATAAAATCATCAGTTCCGATCAGATGCTAGAAATGGACAATTAATTGAATATTATCCTCACCATTTTCCAAACATACACAGTCTGCTTTTTCAGGGCCTTCAAACAAAAGAACTCTATCCAAAATCTCAACTTGCCATGGTGAGCATGAACATAAATAAGGCTGGTTCAGTTGTGACATTTCTAATTGACTTCCAATGCCTGTATTCCTGCTTGGCTGTTGGTGTCCACTGATCTCAAGAGGAAGGAAATCAGATGGAACTGAAACAGAGGGTAGAAATACTGAAAGACCACATTTAGTTACCAAATAAATATAACCCTGGAAACTGCAGCCCACAGCTTCTCCAATAGAAACTTCTTTTCTACCTTGGACATGAGTGATGTCGCACATCGAATTTTTAGTAACTGACATATCAATAGGCAGATTTAAGTGAATGATCTGAGCACTTCTTTCATCTTTGCTATTACAATTTCTATTTAGCCGAGTGATTCCGAAAGGGGAGAAACATATACAATCATCTCCTCCAAACCTATCAGAAGGAAGAAATATTCTTCTGATGGGGTATGATTGTGTTTCAGAAACATTAAACCTTTGACTATTTAACCTTGACTGAGCAGAAAAACCATTCAATCGCTTATCCCCCCAGTCCCCTTTCCCATGCAGA